TGAAATCCAAAAGCAGGTGAATTGGCTGCAGGGTTTATGCATCACCACAAGTGAGTGCATGGAGCAGCCCCAGCTGCTCTGGACAGCCCCGACTCTTGTCTGAGTGGGTTCAATTATCCCACAACGATGGGGCACAACCAAAGCATCACCCACCTTCTGTGGGTACCCAGAAGAGGCCTGAGTGCTGCCCAATCCCTGCAACACTGCTGAGACCTTCCCAGCCCTGGGGGCATGGACACCACTGCCACAGGAGAGACAGGACAGGGAACACCCCAGCAATGAGATAGGCGGGACCTGCTGCCCTGCCCTGCTAGGAAAATGGGCATGGGGAAAGGGGTAAATCCTCATGTGGCTGCAGGGATGAGGGCAGCCCTGAGGTGGTCTGGCCTCAAGGCCTTAGGTTTCTGAACAAAACAAAGTGAAGTCTCCTATTTGGCTAATGTGCCTCTGAAGAAAGGCTCTATCCTTGTTTGCTCCCACTGCTGCTTTGTCTGTGGATAAAGACAGGGATAGTTCTCATCTGATACAGCAATATCATCTCGCCCATCTGGACAGGGCTCTTTACAAGACCCTGCTTTAGAATTTAGATCCCTGGGAACTTGGAAGGCAGCAGTGAAACAAAACCCTCCACCAGAACAATAAAGAGACTCTCAGCAACAGCCAGAGCTCTGTGGGGCAGGCACAGGAGTGCTGCGAGGTCCCAGGGGTCCAGCATTGCCAGGCTGCTCCGGTGTGCAGCAGGTTTGCAGAAATCTGCTGGTTTGGGGCAATTTCTGGGGCCACATCCTGCCTGGGGAATGCAGAACTTGGGCTGGGAGTGCTGCAAGAAGTAAGGACTCAGACTTTTGGTGCAAAACAGCCAAGCTGGGCAAGGCATTGCATCGGCCACTGCATCCACAGCAGGTAGACATTGAAGTTGTTGTCCTCCTCCCTGACTGATCCCTGCCAAGCTCTGTCCTGGATGGAGGTGTCTGGAAGAAACTCTGAGGACAAACGTCTCTAGATGGGCCAGCGGGATGGGCTTGGCCCCAGGGAAGGTCACAGAGACCAGACCTGGCTGCTCTGCAGATTTTGGCTGCAGTTGCTGCCTGTGATCTGGAGCTTAGCTCTGTGAACTCGGCTGACACTGAAGCCAGAAGCCATGGGAGCACTCTACGGCCACTGGGCTGAGGGGACAGCAAATGCCCTCACACTGCCACCTTTAGCTCTTTTTTAATCTCATCCCATTTTTGGTAGGACCCATCTCCCCAGCCAAGCCCAAGAGTGCTGCAGAGAGGCAGCAGCCATCAGGAGCCGTGGGGTCCCTGCTCCTGGGATGCTTCTGTGAGAATGTGGGAGAACAGGGCAGGATGAGGCTTTGGTGAAGAGTCCAGCTCCTGCAGCTCTTTGGGGAAGACAAGCAATGCCTAGGGGTGAGCCAGGCTTTTGGGGAGCAGAGCATCACATCCCAGCAGCCACGCCAGCCCCTGTACCCCCCTGGCCCCGTGCAGATGTTTCCCGGAGCGCTGCCATCCCTCCAGCTCTTCCCGGCTGGGATGGATCCCATTGCTTTGAAGTCTGCAGCTGATGCACAGGGTTATGCAGCCAGAGCAGACAGCCCTGGGGAAGAGCCAGGCTGCCAGGGATGTGACTCAGGAATGGCTCCAGTGACAGGGAGAAAAGGAAAAGTGGTTTATTATGTCTGTGCCGGCATCCAAGTCGCCAACGCAGGGAAGCAATGTGCAGATGAGCCCTGAGCAGGAGGGGAGAGCTGGGGGGCTGGCAGTGTGGAGTGTCACCACTGCCTCACCAGCCACCCTGAGGGTCCCAATCCCACTGGATTACTGCAGGACACAGCCAGGTTCTAGCAGAATCCTGCCCTGCTCCCCAAATGCCCATCACAGGGAACCCCTGAGTGCAAAAGAGGGAATGGGCATGTGTCAATGTGTGTGTCCCCCACCTCCCCCGCTGCCTTCATTAAGGCAGTTAATTTCCCTCTCTAATTAGCTGTGACAAAGTGCATGGGGGACGGGGGATGCTCAGAGTCTAGCACATGCCCAACAGAGTCAATGGGGCACCATCTCCCAGAGGGAAAAAGGTGGGTTGAGAAACTGAGGGAAGACAAATGCAATTTGGTGTCTTTTTATCCCTTCCTTTTCTGAACTGTGAGATTTTATTGTCACAGATATTTTCTTTAGTGCAGAGGAATGGAAATTCTGCTTCTTCCTGGGCTGTGGACAAGATGAAATAGGAGAGAATAATAGAGGGGTGTGTAGGGACAGACAGAACCAGCCCCACGCCCGCCTTTTGCAGGTGCCACAGCCCAAATCCCTTTGATTGGCCTTCATCGTGGCATGTGAAGAGCCCAGCTACTGCCAGCCATGGCCCCCAGGGCCCATGGAGGAGGTTTTGTCCCCCACATCCCAGATCCAGAGAGCAGACAGAGCACTAAAACCAGGTGGTTTCATCTTCACCTTCCCAGGAGAGACTGCACACAATGCCAGCAGCCGAGCACTTGGATGCACCACGCAGTGCCGGCATCCTGTGATGGATCAGCACTGAAAACAGCACCCTGCTAATCTGCCTCCCCAGCAGCCATAAAACTGTCTTCCCAGTTCCTCCAAAGAGGATTTACAGTGGTTCAAAGCATCCTGGAGCGGCCTGCAGAGGTGAGAGCTCCTGCAGGTGCTGCCCCCACGCCTGGGGCACTCTGTGGCATCGTGGTGATGCCCCCATATCTTGGCCTCCAGTCACTCCACTTGATTCCCCCCAGACTAATGCTCCTCAACAGGGACTTGCCAGCCCCCCAGAGCTAGACCCCCCTAGGGTCACTGACCTCAGGAGCCCCTCACCAAGGTCCCAGCACCCCCCAAAAGACTCCTCTCTGGGCTGTTGTTGTGCCCTGTGCTGAGGGCAAACAGGGCAGGCTTTGCCCCGATGGGGACAGCTGGTCTGTAGCTACAGTCACAGCCTTGGTGGCCATCACTCGAGGGACAGCACCTCACCCAGCCATGGGCTCACTGAGAGGTGGCTGCTCACCAGCCCTGGGGTCCTGTGTGACCGCGGCAGCTCTGGGCCACAACCCCTGGGCACAGCACATGCTGGGCCCCTCTGGCACCAGGAAATCTTCCAGCACTGAGCACAGGGAATGGGAGCGCTGCCCCAGTGCTCCCCCTGCTCCATATCCAAGTGGGAAACTGAAAACCCACTGCAAGGCGAGCTGTGCTGAGCCCCTGCCAAGAGCCACTGCCAGAAATATCCTTGATTTCACCAAGGTGTGAATAACTTTTGACACTTCTAGGGCTTATTGCCTTAAAAAAATCCCCCCGCAGTCCCCATTCACACTCAGCAGGACTGTGTTTCATATGAATGGAATATATGAATCACTGCAAAGAATTTAAATGCTTCCCTGTACAAAGAAACCGCTCCCTCCCCGCCTCTGTGGCCAGGCTCTGCACTGCCTAAAACAAAAGCATGGCAGGAGAGGGGACAAATCCTGATCACTACACTGCTGCCTCCTTGGACAAAGGCAACCTGGCCTCTCAGTTTGGCCCAGTGCAGTGGGGCAGAGCCTTCACCACCTATTTCAACCCACAACCAACTGCCCTGGCAAACCAGTGGTTTCCGAAATCCCAATGAGCCCCTGACAGCTGCTGGATTCACATCTCTGTGTGCTGTTTGAGTTTCAGCTCTGCTCCTGTTTCTAAACCCAGTTTTCAGATTGGAACAGGCAAAGAAATTTGCTTTACTGCCATTCCTCTGGCCAGTTTGAGAGAATCCACCACCCCATTGCTGAGAGATCGGGTTAGCTGGACTGATGGAAACCAGGTGAGTCTTCCTGCAAGAACCTCTCCCATTTTTTAGCAGTTTGGGTCTTGCTGCTTCTTTTCCCTTTAGACAACAGGACAAGAAGGAAAAATGTAACTGGAAGCCTGGTGCGGCCCCACTGCACTTCCAGCTGTGATGTTTCCCCTGGCATCGCTGCCTCAGCTCCACACATGAGGTTGTGTCCAGAGCCCCAGCGGAGTGAGGAAAGCCAAGATGGGGCTTCAGGCACCTGGGTTACATTGATCCCTAAAAGAGCAGGGACAGGACAGCACGTGCCCCAGCACGGCACCGCCCCTGCCCAGGGGGCTTGCAGCCACCAGCCCTGCTGCCAGGTCTGTGTCCTAAATTCGCAGGATCCGGCTCTGAAAAGAGCCGCTTTGTTTCCCAGTATCCCTCGCAGACGGATCAAAACTGCATTTTTACAGAAGCAATAAAAATCCCAGGAATTCACCGGCCTTATGATTTATTAAACATGTTCCTTATAGCAAAGCTGCCCATAGATGAGAAATATCTCTGGTAGGTTATTGCCTGGCCTGGGGCTACCGTACAGGGGGGATCTTTCCTGGCTTATTGGGAATGTTCAAAGCTGGAGAACCTGGTAGCTCAGGAGCCAATTAACAGCAACACTCTTAAAAAAACAAGCACCTTGTGTTTCCCAAGGTTTTTGTGGAAGGCACCACAGTGCCAGTACCCGGGAATGGTGCAGGTACCCGGGTGCAGATGTTGGGAGCTGCGGGAGGGGACAAGACTCCAGGCGGGGCTGGGGCAGTAAGTGCCAGCAGTGGCTGTCCCAAAGGTCACGGCACTTTCCCCAAAACACTTTTGTTCTCATAAACATACTTCCTAACAGCAGAAAGAAAGGTCTGGGCACTGGGAGACGGCAGAGGCTCTGAGGAGGATTCCCTGGGAATGGGACGTGACCGAGGTGGGTCAGAGGAGGGAGAAAGGATGAGAAAAAGTAAAGTAGAGGAAAGCGGTCTCAGACCTGCCGGAGGAGGGATGGCTGGAGCGTCCTGCGGTGTTCCTCTGGGAAAGGGCACCAGAACAGCAGGACTCGTGACTGGGAAATCCACGGGATCAACTCCCGCCCGAGCCCGGCGCAGCCCGCGGGATGCGCAGGCGAGCGGGAGCAGGAGCGGGGCCGGGAGCGGTGGGGCCCTAACCCCATCCCGGCCGAGCGGCGCAGACCTTACCTCACCTCCCCTCGGCGGAGCGGAGCGGAGCTGCGGGCACGGGCGGTCGCTGGCGGTCGCGGCGGGCCGGGCCGGCCCGGGCACCCCGCGGGGCGGAGCGGGGCGGGAGGGAGGGCGGAGCGGGGACGGGGGTGCGGGAGGTGCGGGGAATGCGAAGCGGAGCCGCGGGTGCGGAGGGATGCGAAGCGGGAAGGGGGGATGCGGAGAGAGGGATGCGGAGCGGGATCAGGGGTGCGGGGGATGCAGAGCGGGACCAAAGGTGCGAGGGGTGCGGAGCGGGGCCGCGCCGGGGCGGCTGCTGAGATTTCTCTCTTTTCCCTCTTTTTTCCACTCTCCTCTCGCCGGTCCCAGCCCGGCCGCGCTGCTCGTTCCTCCGGCGCGGGAGGGAGACTGCGCGCACCGCACCCCCGAGAGCCCCTGCCCCCGCCCCCCGGCCCCTCCTCGCCACCCCACCCGGGACAGGGGCCCGTGGGCACGGCCGCCCCCAGACCCGCCCGTCTTTCACGGGGCAGGGATGCCCTGTGCCCCGGGGATGCTGATGTCAGCAATAGCAGCCATAAAGGTGGGAAAAGAGCTCCCGTCCATCTGCAGAGCCCGCGGAACTGGGTGCTGCCTGCCCCTGGGATGGGGCCCAATGGGGTCCAACATTCTTTCCCCTTCTTGGCCCGTTCGGCAGCCCAGGGCTGGAGCAGCGTTGCCCCCACGCTCACCCAAAACCATCGCCCACTTCCTTTGTGGAGATGGGGCCACAGCAGGAGATGATCCCCATTTCTGTGGTGGGGGAAATCCGCCACCCTGAAAATTCCTTTGCCCTGGGCAAAACAGTTCGGACCGGGTCCTGATGACTCGTGTCTTGGCACAGCATTAAATCACACACTAGGACGGAGGTGTCCTCAATCACAGGAGAACGGGCTGCCTGCAGCCCCCTCCTCTCGCCTTTCCCAGCCACCGCACTGCCCACGGCCAAGGCGGAGGAGCTGTGACATCCCGCTGGCAGCCGCGTGCCAGGCACAGCCGGGCCACCGCAGGCACTGCCGCAGCTGCAGGGGTGCATGGGCGCGGGGATGCAGGACCCCGGTGTGCCCCGGGAGGCAGATTAGGGTTGCTCAGGCAACGGGCACGGAGAAAGCCCGTCGGGATGGAGGCCGCTGGGTGCACAAGGGTGTTTGTTTTCCGTATTAAGCGCCTGAGCAAGGGGGGCATCAGACGGCTAATCCCCCCTCAATGCCTTTCCCCGGAGAGCAACCGCCGTGGGGCCGGACCCTGCTCCCAGGAATGCTGATGTGCTGTGCCCTGCGAGGGTGGACGCGGCTGGGGTCCCCTCTGTGCCCTGAGCAGGCAAGGCTGGGGGTCCCCAATCCCCACAGCGGGCCAGAGTGGGCAGCTCAGAGCAGCCCCAAGGCCTCTCCAGGCCAGGGCTGAACCCGGATGAACCATGGCACACGGTGACTGCTCGGGATGGCTGCTAGCAGCAGCTGCTCTGCCACCAGCTCAGCACCACAGCCACGGTGTTCCTGCAGTATCAGCTCTCCTGCCCATGCCCTTATCCCACCTGCAGCACCAGGGCACAGGGCAGAGCATGGAGGGGCAAGGGGCCTCCACTGGCACGGCAGCTCCCACAGAAGTGAACCAGCGTTGTTTAACCAGAGCTCTCACTGGCAAAGCATTTCCTCCACTCAGAGACTTGTTTGCCAGCACAGACATTCCTCTGTCCCGCAGAGCAAATCATCGGCTGCAGCCTCTCTCCGTGCTGGCCTCTGCTGCCTGTCATTGCTCCTGTGCTGGCTTGTTCCTCCCCAAGCTGTCCCTTCACCAGGATGGAGCCAGGGGTGCAGCCATGGCACCCTGGCCATGCCACATCAGCTGTGCTGTGCCACTCTGGCTGCTCCTGGCCATGCACAGGTTTCTTCTCACTGCCCAGCAATGGTCATTTTTGCTCTGGGATCTTCTAACGCCTCACTAGGTTCTTTCTTTTCTATCTTGTGGAGTTACAGCTGCTTCTGACTGCAGCCCCCTGTTCTCTGGTTTGGGTGCTGGTGCACCTGCTCACTGGCAGAGCAAGGAACTGAAAAATATGTAGGACTTGAATAAACTCCAAGCAACACCTGACCCATCAGTGTGTTATCAATATTCTTGTACTAAAGGCAAAAGCCAGCCCTGTACCAGCTGTTGGGAAAATTACAATGAAATTAACTTTATTCCAGCCCAAAAGGTATCCAGGTGTGAGCTCAAATCTTGCAGCCTGAGGCCGCAGCAATCCCAGCTCCCCGTGCTGAGCCAGGAAGGAGAACAACATCCCAACTCACCCAGTGCCATAACTCTGAGTAATTCATCCTACTTAAAATTTATTTATTTGAGCTGAACTACTGATACCTCTCAACACTGTGCTGAGCCACTGCTGATGGCTCTGCTTCCCAGTGGGAGAGGGAAGCTGGGCTTAGAGTGGGATTTAGTGGCTCTGCTGCCTGTATCTCCTGGCAGCTGTGTGTCCACTGCTGTGCCAGGGCTCCAAGGTGTCCCCAGCATTGTGCTGGCCCTGCCAGGGCCACACGTGAACCAGTGAGAGCTCCAGTGCCACAGCAGCCCTGGGCACTGCTGCACCTCAGGGTCCCATTGCCTCCCCAAAATCCCCGTCCCAGCCATCCAGCTGCTCCACACTGGAGGAACAAGAGAGAGGGAGGAGACATAATTCAATCTAGGGCTGAAAAATGCTTTAACTTAATTTCGGTGGGTCACGGACATAATCAAATCAGCTCCATGCATTGGAATATCGTTTCCATGTTTCCACAAAGATGGATAATTGTGCTTGGAAAACCAGCCCTTGGTGCTCAGTGGGAAAATGTATCATGGGGGTGGGAGGGGGCCAGGAGCTGGGCTGGCAGTGCTGACCAGAGCCGGGGTGTGCTGCTGTGCCTGCTCAGGGTACTGGTATGAGTTGATGAGGGCAGACAAGGGGCTGGGAGCATCGCCCCGCTGTGCCAGCAGTGACATGCAGGTGAGAGGTGGCCTGAGCAGGAGGACACCGGGCAGGGAGAGGTGATGTTGGCACATTGCGGGGTGAGCCACGGCTCCGTGTGGAGCATGGTGCCAGATCCCAGCTTTCGGGAACATTCAGTGATGGATTAAATGCAATCTGACTACCACTGTGGGAGGTTGGAGAGAATTACTTCATACAAATGCACTTTGGAAAGTATTTAGAGTCAAATTTTCAAAAGCCCCTGAACGACTTAAGAGCCAAAATCCCATTTTCCAAGGTCACTTAAATGAGCAAGAAAAGATCAGTTAAGAAAACACGCGAGCAGCCGGGGCCTGGGGGCACGGGCTGCGGTGGCGGTGGGTGCAGCACCACACCACGATCAGCCACTGCAGCCCTTACCCTGGGAGACACGAGGATGCATCGGCCTCAAAAAACATCCCTGTGTTTCTTCCTGAGGAATCAGCCCGGGATGGGTCCCGCTGGGTCAGATCGAAGGGAATGGTCCCGCTGGGGTCAGGGACAGCGCCCAGCTCAGCAGCTGTGGGGCTGCCGCTGCCACCTCCGGCTCCCATTGCGGACCCCGCCGGGGTATTCACCGACTGTAATGGGAGAGGGCAGACCTGCAGCTGGGAACTGAAGGGCTCCTTCCCTTACCCCACAACCGCTGCAGCCTCCTAAAGGCATCTCCAGTTCCCCGCTCAGCATCCTAATGAACCGCAAGGGCAGCTGGGACCCTTTGAGGCAGCAACCATGGAGACTCAACCCCCACAAAGAGCAAATCCCAAAGCAATTAGCTTTGCAAGGCTCGGCCGGGCTGGTGGAGGTTCCACATTCCTCGGTGGCTGTAAAGCTCTTTACTGGGATTGTTTTCCTGCATGAGCCCTGCCCGGGGTACACATAGTGGCTCCGGCTCCCAGCACCTTTGGTGCATGCAATAAAAAAACACTCTCACGTTGCCTTTGCTCGGGCTGAATTGCAGTGAGTTCATACACTTCCCCCAATAGAAAGCAAAAAGGATCTGAGACAGAATTCTTGATCCAGGATCCTTTACAATTCCTGGAGGACATTTTTGGAAAGGGAAGGGTTGTATTTACTTTGGCAGCTGACTCTGCTCCTATATGCATATGCATGGAAAAACTGCACTCACCTACTGTTTCCAAGGCTTCCTTGTCTGCAGTGCACCAGCCCAGGTGGTAGCTGGCGGCCCCCGGACCTCTGTTTGGAAATGGCACATGGAATTGGAAGCTGAAGTTTAGATCTCTCCCCAGGGCAGCCCTGAAGGCTGCTGGCCCTTCCCAGGAGCACTGGAGGGGATGTGGCAGGCCCGGAACTCGTCGCAGCTCAACACAACCAGAGGCAGGACCGTCCCTGTGATGCCCCCATGTGCCCCCACCACCCTCCTCTTCTGGCATCTCTCCCCACCTGTACCTCCAGCCTTCCCGTGGCTGCTGTGATTAATTCACTGACAGTGGGGTTGGAATAAATCCACTCATTGGCACGTTGTAAATTCATCATGTGCTGGGGACACACAGTCCAGCCCACCATAAACACCACTGGCTACGAGCTAATAAATCTGCCTCCAGAGCTGGTGGATGAATGGAGTCCCTGGGTCCTGGGGGCTGCTCCAATCCGGAGTTGGGGTGACCCCACAGCACCTAGCTGTCTCTGAACGGAGGTGGTTCAAGAAAGGGCTGTCAGGAGCAGCCCAGCTGCTGCTGTCACCCTCCCAGTTTGTATCTTTCCTCCCTGTGCCATTCCTGCCCTGGTGGTAGGGGTGGGTGCTCCTATTAGTACTGGGGACCCATGTGATGAGGGCAGGGTACTGCAGCCTGTCTGGGAGCTGCCCAGAGCACACAGAGGAAGTTTGTTACCCTGGTGTTCTGCTGAGCTGCTGAAATGTTCAGGCAGTAAACTAGTTGTAAAACAGAAAAAAAAAAAAAAAACCCAAAACATTTTATTATCCACCAAACAGCTGCTGCTTCATTTTATGGGGGTCATTATCTGAGGAGGTCAGGCTGGCAGAGCAGAGGCAGCAGCCCAGGTCTTGGTGGGCTCCTGGCACCCCCAGC